CTCTTCTATACAGTACCTGACAGAAGAAGAAGAGAGAGAGAGAGAGAGAGAGAGAGTGGGGGTTTGCGAATCAATTTATCGGATTTATACAAAGATGGTGTATGGAAAGGAGTTATTTGGAACGGGCAATATTGTAAGCATAATATGTTTCACAATATCTAAAATCACACAGGGGTCGCCACAACAATAGCGCTGCCGGTTTGGATTCATGCAAATAAACATATAGACACAGATCCGCGCTGTTGCAGGTTAATAAATACAGCAGAGCCAGCTCCTATCTGGAACTCGCCACCAGGCGGCATACGTACACACACTCGCGCATTGAAATTCTGCCTGTAGTGGAGAATGTACTGTGACGCTCACTGCAACGTATATTTATAGCAAAACCCACCACAGCCAAGGATAACTAATCTAAGTACACTCATAAGGAGAATAGATGTTAACGAATGTACCAAGCCATTGCACAATGTTATACATACCCCAGCTAATATGAAGTCTCCGTGGCCCTTCAGGTAGAGGTATACAATGCCTCCATGGTACGAGTATTCCAGAGCCAGCTCCTTTACATTGCTGCCCCCGTCCCCGGGCCTGAGAGAGTACAGACATATCTTTGACCCGAGACTCACCACCAACCGATTGCTGGCTACGCACATGGAATACGGAGCGCTCTTGAAGTTCGTCACGCATATCTGTTAACGTTTATGTAGATCATCAATGCAGAGGTGGATACGGACAGGGATAGGAAGAGTTGTTGACAGAGTCAGTGCCGTGCGCAAATATGTGCCTAAAACGACTGGTATGCAAGTATGCACCTTGACCAGCATACAAGAATGGTATGTAAGTATGTACCTTTATCAGCATACAAGAATGGTATGTAAGTAAGTACCTTTATCAGCATACAAGAATGGTATGTAAGTATGTACCTTCATCAGCATACAAGAATGGTATGTAAGTATGTATCTTTATCAGCATACAAGAATGGTATGTAGGTATGCACCTTTATCAGCATACAAGAGTGGTATGTAGATATGCACTTGGACCAGCATACACGAAGAGTATGTAAGTATATACCTTGACCAGCTTGCTATCCACCACCTTGAACAGATACACTCGGCCAGCCTTGGGCTCATCCTCCGCTGGTAGCACAAACGCAGTACCTACGGCGTAGTAGTACTCTGCATCGGCCACCGTGACCTCGGCTGCCTCCGCTTGTGTGTCTGAATCTGTTGTGGACAATCAGCGACTGTGCGTATTAGGGCCTACGGTGCCCCCAGGCCACTCGGCGAGAGGGGCAAGCGGCCTTCTATTGCGTTTCTGATTGTGTACACATGTGGCAATACGAATGCAGTGGCTAACGATTGTGTGGAGACTTCGCCTCGTCTGAGACGCTGTGTAATACAAGTGAACTTATGTGTATACTGCCAACCTGATCCGTGATATGTTTTTGACAGAGCTACACACCTTCGGCGTTGTCTGATGCAGCGAGCGGGCCTTCTCCATCCTTCGCAGACTCAGAGGCCGGCGCATCGAACGAGACCACACACAGCGAGCAGATGTCTTCGTTCTCTTCCATCTCGAACGTATCCAGCACTTCAAATGTAAGCTCATCGTACAGGCTGAGCCGCGAGATATCATGCTCTCTGTGTATGGACGCGAGTGCAGTATATATATATATGTGTGTGTGTTTGAAAAGATATTTGATTATGAATGTGGCTAAGTATGTAAGTGTTTCAAAAGACATTCGATCATGGATGTGGCTAAGTATGTGTGTGTTTGAAAAAATAAATAATCATGATAAACCATCAATAGCGGACACGTGACAATGTAGGTTCAAAGCGTCAGTAGTTAGACGTCACTGCCCGCGTAGCCGAGGGCTTCATTTTCCGAAGGCACACACACACACACACACAATACACACACGCACACACACAATATACAAACAATACACACACAAACACACACACAATACACACACGCACACACACACAATACACACACAATATACACACATGTACGCACACAATACACACATGCACGCACACAATACACACACATATACACACAATACACATACATGCGCGTACATGCTCACGGCTGTGTACACCCCGTTTCAGGCACTACCAACGAGTATCTCGCAAACTACACTCTGTTTAAGGCAGGTGTACAAGACAAATTGATAAAATTTAAAATAGGTGTACACAACTAATCAAAATAATTTAAAATAAGTGTACGGCTAATCATAATTAATACATATAAAATATACAATTTAAACCAAGTGCATGAAACATAATTTAAATTAAGTGTACGGAACTTAAAACAATTAGAAGTAAGTGTAATGAACTGATCAGAAGCACAACACTTATGTTGAACCCACACCAGGCACTGCACGCGCCTGCAATACAAAAGCACGGACAAAGAAAAAAGGTGCATTCAGCTTGGTTTGCACGGTTTGCACAAAACACCCAATCCCATGTTTGAAGCCAACAACAACCGTTATTTGTTTACGAGTACAATATATATATACATCGGATACAAAAAGTAGTCGTACTTGAACTCAACATCCATTGTTGTCTGTATGGTCGCCACCAGCAGTGTGGCTGTGGACTCCATGTTCTGGATGCGGCGGGGCATGGCATCCAATGGGATGGTGCGCACATGCAGTTTCTCAATCTCATCTATGGTGCCAATGGTCATCTGCATGTCAGAGAACACGGCCAGACTCTGTGCCATAGGTACAGACGACAGAGTGGGAGAAAGCAATAGAACAATGTAAGGTTAGTAGGAAGGTAGTGAGCTACATGCTGGAGCTGGAGAGAGAGAGAGAGGGAGGGGGGGAGGGGGGGGGG